ATATACCGCAATTTTGCAGACATACCTGTGTTTCCTATCAATCAAATTGCTAATAAGCGTAAAGTTCGGAACTTCATATAGAAAGCGAGTATAATTTAATAAGCGAGCTTCCTAAAATTTAAAGATAATTAATTCAATTAAATGCAATTTAAACATTAGGGAATTAAAACTTTATAGTTAACGTTTAACATAAATAAATCTGATAATGCAAATGTAATCTTATTTGAACTTCGTCAACAAAGATGAATTGTAAGAATTTGAAAGAACTATGGACGATAGCTCGCAGCTTTAAAATACAACATTTCCTTCAGTCCCAGAAGAGCATTGCTAAATGCATTGTCTTTATAAGGCTGTTCCAAGAAATTGTTGAGTCAATTTAGTACCATTTCTTATCTTTATTTTCCACACTCGAATTAGCAGTGATAAGTAAGATTGGTGGTAATATATTTCAATTTTATGCTTCATTTTGAGCTATGATAATTACATATATATTATTCTTATAAATAATATATATGCGATTACCATAATCATGATTTATTAGTCAACAGCAAGCATATCAAGCCTATTAAGAATCAATGGCCCTTTAACACTTAGCAGTGCATCAAACAATAAAAAACTATTTTACTTCCTGAATTCCACTTCGATTAGTGTTAGCTAAAATGAGCTACATGTTAGCCTATTATAATTGGACACTTCTTTTCGATGTTACATTTTCGTTTAAAGTAATTTTATTTACTTTGATGCTTTTAAAACTTACCAGACATCATCTTAATTAATTAAAGATTTTCCACTTACATAAAGCCTTTAAAGAGGTTGTCAGAAACTGGTAAAAGGCATTTTCTGCGAAATTTTCCTTAAGATCATACTCAATTATAACTCAAATCTGAAATAGCATTTCTGTCTGTAATAAGTATTTCAATCAATATTAGTTCTAAGAATTCTATTCATATTCTAAAAATTTGCTAAGTGTTTATTTACTCAAAATAATTCCGTGTAAATCGAGGTATTTTCAGTTGATGTCACAATCTGTTCATGTTTCTTCCGTAATGCAAAAAGGATAGGGACAATATTTTCTTAGAACATATATTATTAATTCATTATTCCAGGTATTTTTAAAGGTAAACTAGATCTTCAATAAGTACAACTAGATCTACTACACTACACTTCACGAAAATTGAAATGGAGCCTGCATGAGCGAATAGTATTTTTATTTTATATATCTCAGCAATTTTTTACCTTAAACTAAATCTTCAACATACCGTAAATAGATCTACTGCACTCAAATAGACTAGAATCAAAATAGAAGCCACTCACATGAAAAGTACTTTCACTTTATTACGAGAAAATTTTAACCCTAAACTAGCTTTCAACAGCCTGTAAGTAGATTATCCTAGATTTGACCAATTATACAGCCTTTATGATGATTGGAATGTGATTCATGTGATGCAGAACAAGGAGTCCCAAAATAGTAAGTGTGCCAAAAACATAGATACAGTGAGCCAAAGGGTGAGCTTGGCGAAGTTCCCTCTTGCTGTAGGGGTTGCACCCATTTACGAATCAGTTGAAGCTTTGCCAGCTATTTGAAGGTGACTAGGTTTAGATATGACGCCCTGGTGAGTAATTCTAGCTTCTCCCCCCTCTTGTATTGTAGAATGTTGTTTAATTGTATTAAAGATAAATTTTAATGATTTAAAATATTCTTGATTACATATTGATACCATAACATTAAGGAAAACAAGAGGGGGGAGAAGCTAGGATTACTCACCAGGACGTCATATCTAAACCTAGTCACCTTCCAACTGTTAGGCAAAGCTTCAACTGATTCCTAAATGGGTGCAACCCCTACAGCAGGAGAGAACTTCACCAAGCTCACCCTTTGGCTCACTTTATCGATGTTTTTGGCGCACTTACTATTTTGGGACTCCGTGCTCTGCATCACATGCACAATTATGGAACCTATTCGAGCTCAATAATTAACGATAAATTAGTTTTTCCACATACTGTTATTAGATCTACCGCAAACTACTTCTCAACTGTTAGCCAAAATCTGCATTTCCATTTTGTAATGCTTAAAGTGATTTGGTATATTCTAGCAGAACTAGCAGTAAGAAAATTTGAAGCAGTGTGTCAAGCATTGGTGCACAGTTTATTTGTTTCTTTTCAGTTATCAACTCTAATTTAGGTAACTACGTAAAACAAATTGCTGTGTAAATATTATTTTATTTTACATTTTCAGTTCCACCGAAGTTTGTAGAAAGAGGAGAAAGTGAAGTTATGGCAAGAGAGGGAACTAACATAACTCTCAGCTGCAAAGTCAAAGGTCATCCACCACCGACTGTTACATGGGAAAGAGAGGGTGGACAAGAAATTTCTGATTCTAAAGGACAGATAGCACAAGGTGGGTTGAGCAAATATGTACATAACATTTTACCAATCTTAATAGTTTGACAGGTTAGTTCTCATGCAATGAATTTTAAACTCTCATGTATTTCTTGAAGTGCCATTTGATTTTTCTTTGTTTCTAGTGAAGTTAAATATTTTTAAAATCAAAATTATATACATATGTATTACAAAAGTATTTTTATAACTTTTGTGACTCGTTAATCATGCTGTTTTGACTCTTAATTAACTAAAAAATATTGGTGCGGCTCNTATATATATATTAGAGTATAAGAGAGCAATTAACGTCATATCTTGTTCCTCTCATGTTTCTCATTGATAGAAATGATTTATTTTTACACAGAAATTCTTATAGGTTTTTAGGTTTTCAACTGAACAGAGATAATTTTTGAATTCCTTAGATCAGTGATGGGGAAACTACGGCCCGCGGGCCAAGTCCGGCCTGCGGAAAAGTTTAATCCGGCCCGTTTAAGAGTGCCGTCGTGAGAATGTTTGAACGCGTTCTTACTTCGTAATGTGACGACCCGCATAAAAACTACCGGCGGCGATATTCAAAACACAATAGTATTCTGGATAAATCCATCCGACCGAAACAGATGACTCGTCTTCGCTCGAAACTTCCAGACACTCTCGCATTTTCGATTCATTGTTCTGTTTTCTCGAAAGAACCGGAAAAATCCAATTCCCGAACATTCCTTGCAGGTAGGTATAAATACAAGCGAGGCCGCCCGATGATCAGTTAGTTAGCGACTTAGTCAGTCATCTGCAACGATCCGCTGTGACTCGAGTAATTGTTTGTGTAATCCCCGAAGCTCCCACTGCCTCAATAGTTCGTGGGCCGAAGACTCAAAAGCAGTTCTAAACTGATTTTCGTTCCTACACTCGAGTGGTAATTTTAATCTTTCAAAATAGAACTCAATCTTGCCTGGGAAATATAAATTCACGAATTTCTCCAAAATATAATAGGCCATTAATTGACAGTTATCAAAATATTGAAGAACTATTTTAATTTCATGAATACAGAATTTTGCCCATGAATATCCAAAGAGGAGGGTACTGTGACGTTACATGAAAATGAATTGACCAATCACAACCAAAAAGCTTCGCGATTTGCCTCTGCTCTAGTTCTTGTTTCCTTTGCTTCAAACTGCTTTACAATTTTTGTAAAAACGTTATAAAAGTTTAATAAAATTTTAATTTCATTTTAAGAGGACCCGCGCAAGAGCATTAGTTAGCAGTAAGTTTTCGTCAATTGCGTTTCTGTGTGTTGTTCTCCGTAGAAGGTAACGTCTAAAATGGATGTTAAAAAAAAGAAAAGTGGATTCAGAATGTCGAGTTTTTAAAGAAGAATGGACGTGGAAATATTTCTTTACTTTATTTAAAGAAAAACCTGTGTGCTTACTTTGCAATACAACTGTTGCAGTTTTAAAAGAATATAGCATTCAACGCCATTTCAAGAGCAAACATGAAAACCACTCCTACTCATCGTTAAGTGAAGAGGTGAAAAAAATTTAATCGAAAGATTTAATGAAAAATTTATCAAGTCAACAGTAATTATTTCAGAGAGCTAATCATTCTCAAAGATGCGCTACGAAAGCCAGTTATGTGTTGGCTTATAATATTGCTAAATCTAATAAAGCATTTTCATTTGGTGAATTTATAAAGCAGTGCATGATAGATGTGTGCGATATTATGTGCTCTGAAAAGAAAAATGATTTTCAGTCACTGTCTCTCTCAAGAAGAACAATCACCGAGAGAATTGAAAATATTGATAAAAATCTAATTTCACAACTGACTACAAAAACTCAAAAATTTATTTTTTATTCAATTACCATGGATGAAAGTACAGATATCAGCGATACTGGCAATTATCAGAAAAATGGAACCAGAGTTTAATATTTTTGCGATCCCATTCAATGTTAATTACTAAGAAGTTGATGCAAAATTTTAACTTGAGTTAATAGAACTGAACTGTAATACTCTCCTGAAACAAACTTTTCATACAGTACCATTGCTAGAATTTTATAAAAATTTAAGTCCAGATAATTTCCCAAAGCTTATTACTCATGCAATGAAGATAATGACAATGTTCGGCTCATCTTATATATGCGAACAAATCTTTTCAACAATGAAGCTAAAGAAAACTTCCTTAAGAAACAGAATTACAGATGAGCACCTTTCATTAGTTTTAAGAATTTCTACTTCGCAAATGGAACCGGACTATGATGAAATTTTGAAGAAACAGTCTCAATTTCATTTTTCTCATGCACCATCAACCAGTAATAACACCAGAAAATAAAGTAATAATACTTCACATCAAGAACTACACTAAATTCATTTTATATTTTGTGCTTATAATTTTCTTACATTTTGCTTTTTTACTATTAAAATAATAAGTGTATATAATAATATATGTATATGTTTATAGAACACATAAATTTTTTAACGATTAAGCATTATTCTTTGGCCCGCTACGATTGTCTAGTTATTACAAATGGCCCGTCTTAAAAAAAGTTTCCCCACCACTGCCTTAGACAATAAGTATTCCCTTTATTATAGACAATATTTATTGAAACATTTTTAATTGCGTATTTTTAGGCGAAGATTTAAGCATTATAAAAGTAAGCAGACTGCATATGGGTGTGTATGTTTGCACTGCCACTTCCTCCATATATCAAGGGCCAGCTTATCAACCCATAACAAGAAATGTTATGCTTCATGTATTGTGTAAGTAAAATAATTTCCAATTATCTATCATTTTAAAATAAATAGAGTATTCTAAACACACAAATAAATAGCAAAAATAATTTATTTATGGAATTAAATCAATATTATCAAACTATCAGAAACCTTTTAATATTTATTTCTATTTATAAAGGAGAAGATTTCTTCTTTCATTTGGTTTTCATTTTATTTATAGATATTTTTTGGTACAAAGATATTTTTTGGTACGGAAACAAAAGCATCAAAAAACAATTAAATCATTACGTTAGTATTGAATAAATGATATGTCAACAAAAATAACGCTATATGTGTATGATAAGTTGAGTTAACACTAGAAAGACTAAACATTGATGTAAACCTAGAATGACTGAAGAGGCTAGTAAGTCTCTTTCCAGATTGCTTGCGTGTAGATCAAGTAGACACTCAAAATTTTAAAATATAATCAGAATGAATTCAGTAAAAACATGTTATAGACTCGATCATCAAACTTCTACTGCATTTCATTCAATTTAGTTAAAGATAATATTGGTTTAAACTGAACACTAGCTTTTTAATTATAAGTATACATAAGTCTTAAGGTAATTGAGTTTTCTTTTCTCTATAAATAATAATTATAGATACATTGAAATACTCTTGTTTATTTAATGAAACTGGTGAACCATTTATACATCAAAGGGTATCTTATATCCAAAACTACCAGGGTTTCTAGGATACCTAGCAAGATATCTTAAGAGCCACTCTAGCCCCTCCTGTCATTCTAAATATTCATTCCATATATGCATTTTCATTATGCTAACACATGAATTATTAAATAAGCACTGAAATTGAATAAAATTATGAAAAGTCAGAAAGACTTTACACTTTCTGTAGGTAATTTTTCGAATAACAGAGTAACAGAGAATTAGAGGGGCCAAATTGGCTCCATCCGTTTTTCGAGTGCTGTTGGAAATATACGTTTAGAACAAAGCTTAAAACAAAAATATAAATCGAGAATTACACAATTTAAGGTTTTCGACCAGAATTTGTAGTGGGTAAAAAGTCTATTCGTATTATGTTCATAATTATCAGAACTAAGAAGGTTAAAATAAAATACCTAAACCACTTAGACCCATTTTTTTAATATTTAAGTTTTTTTACAAGGTTTACTTACTAGTGATATTTCTTATTTCTGCAGCATCTCTAACAGAATTATTCTATCTATATCAAAATCATTGTTGAAATAAATTGAGTTGTTCTAGAGAAAAAAAATTTGTAGTTTTCAGAAATATTTCTTATTTTTCGTAACATTTTTACTAAATTACTTTGTTACAAGAAACCTTTTTTTGTTATGAGTTATTCTATAAAAACAGTTCATAAATTTGATTTAAAATATTGTTTTGAGGTATACCATTAATTTTATTGCAAGAGTTTTTTCTATTTAAACGAATCATAAAAGGATTTAGGTTTTTTTTTTAGAAAATATACGGATTCAATATTCGTGCATTAAAAAAGAACACCTTTAATGAAATAAAATAATTTATGTGTCAGCTTTTATTCACTTTTTTTCGATTTGTTTATAAATTAAGTAGGTTACATTAAAGAAGGACAGTAACATATAATTATCTAAACAACTCTTATATTAATCAGGTTCTTTCAAATTCAAGTTATATTCTACACATAGGCAACACAAATAAGTCTGCTTTAATTATGTATTATATAGTTTTATTTTTTTCCAATAGTAGCAACTATAAGGCAGCAATTAAACTTCAGCAACTTCTTTTACATCCTTTTTTTCCCTTTTATGTCGGATATTTAAGCATTTTTTTGTTACTGTACTCAGCTTCTATATCCTTTACGAGATAGAGTAAATGTCAGCATTTTTTACTCTCTGTTCTTTATAACCTTTTTCTTTTACTTTAAAGAAGGGTTCCAATTACTGTTTAATTATCACTCTCTCGGGACGCTTTTAAAGGCTTGACCTTGTTACCTTCAGGCCCGTAAAAGATGTTTTTTTTTTCTTTACTTTTATCTTTAATCACTTCGGCTCTTTAATTTTAATGTGTATATTTTTTAAACAGCTAGTTCTAGAACTTAATTATCTGCGATTAATGAATTCATGAAAATAGGAAATTATATTTAAGAAAAAAGAAGGCATTTAATGATTGGAAGGCAGATTTAGAAAGCTTTATTTTTTATGTCAATAGTATAATTAAATGTTGAGAACCAAGATGCGTTTTATTCTGAAAAGTTAATAATACCGTTTTGATGATTTGCAATAAAACAAGTTGTATCTTTAATAGTTTTTTTTTCTGCTAAAGCTTATTTTTATGGCAAAGCATTGATTTTAAATTTTGTTTAAAATAACTGTTTTTCATAGCAATTTTAAGGAATTAACTTACTTAAACAAAACAAAAATCGCTCAATTGTACCATTAAAAAATATGGGTTTCGAATGGATTTACGTATAAATGAGAGCACATTATCGGAATTAGATTAAATTAAAATTAATTGTTATCTTTATTTTTGCAAATTAGGTATACATTGAACATTGAACAATATGTCACTAACCAGCAAATCGCTCACAGAATTTATTAAAGTCATTAAAATGCAATGCAGAGATTTTGCATAGCGTTTGTATTGAGTTAACTGTAGTGCTAACCTCATTTTCTACCTTTGAGCAACTATGTCATTTTAAAAAAATATTTCACGCATGCGCTGCGAGGTTAAAATAGTGTAAGCGTGAAACCCTAATGCTTTGAAAAATCTCTTTATTTAGGGTATTTACTACGAAACAATTAATTTTAACGTGAATAGTTTTGAAACAGATAGTTCTTGAGCTTGGTTTTAGCGTTTAATGCATTCATCAAAATGGAGATTTTTAAATAATAAAGAATACATTTTAATAATTAAAAATTAAAATTAGAAAGCCGTTTCAATGGTTTGATTAAATATTGAAAAGAAAATAGAGTATCTGTTCATTTATTATAAGTACCTAGAAGATTGGCTATGACGTCATTAGTTCTCATATGTCATCTAATAACCCTAAATTTTACCCCTAAAAAAACAAGCGCAGAACACGTCTCGAAAAAGCAAAGAGAGTAGTACTCTTAAAGGTTAATGATACCTTTGCTGATAATCTTTAAAACAATCCGGAAATTTAATAGTTTCATTTCTGAAACATATTCCTATTTTCAAATTTTAGGAAAAAAATTTACTTGTATTTTAAACTTTAAGAAATTATTCCTCTTGCAATATAAAAAAAAGCGCAATTATTTCACTAACACGCTGGGTTCTTTTAGTAGTCTTGGAGATGAAATGGGAAAACATATTAGAATTTAATTCCATTAATATAAATTGTTGCCTTCAATTTTAGTCGGTATGAGTTAGTATACGGTGCTAAGAAAATTAACTAAAAAACCGGAATAACTTTTGATTTAATGATCGAATCCTTAGGTTCAAAGGTTCAAGGATTCAATCATAACGGTTCGAGGTTGTAACCTAAAATATGCTATGTAATTATTGCTGACGATATTTTAAGTGGCAAAATCAGACAGAAAAACGCACTTTCTTTGAATAAGCATACCTTTTTTACGATGGATTTGGTTTTCTGATCCCCAAAATACTACGCAATCTGGGAAGTAATCGCAATAGTTTGGTCTGGAGAGTGATCTAAAGTTTGGACCTTTTTATGTAAATATTATTTTTTGCGTATTTCGCAATATCTTAAATAAATGTTTAAGATAGTTGAAAAGTGTTTGCACACAATTATGAAATTCGTTTAACCTCATATAATTTCATGCAAAAAATAGATTTTAGTGAGTATTTATTATTTTTTATTTTGTTATTTTTATAATAGTCGAAAAACTTCAATGGTTGAATTGTAAGGCAGCATACAGAACAATGTAATTTTAAATGACGAAATACAAAATTTGAGCGAAATAGGTAGAATAGTTTCTGAAAAATCATATTTTGAAAAAGTCCTATTTTTTTTAAATTCTCCTAAACATATCCTAAATTATTTGACCAATTTCGCTCAAATTTTGCCATGTAAAAATACTTTCTTTAAAATTGTCTAAAAAAATTTTATACCTTACGATTCAACATTTTCGACTATTATTGAATAAACAAATAAAAAATAATGAATAGAAATTAAAGTTTATTTTTGGATGTTTGCGGCTAAACGCTTCAGTGAACATTATCTGTGGCTGAACGAATATCATAACTGAGTGCAAAAATTTAAATTCAATTAGAAAAATTCTCAAGATATAGCGAAATACGCAAAAAAAAAACACGAAGTTAAATTTAAGGGGTCCAAACATTGGACAGCTCGTCTGTCCAAATTATTGTGACCATTTTTCCTAGATTTCGACTAACCCCAGTAGACAGGTGGTCAAAAATCCGAATCGTCCGAAAAGAAGGTAACTTTATTCAGAGAAAGTACGTTTTTGTGCCTGATTCCCTAACTTAAAATATCGTCTGCCCTTATTAATTAACATATTTGGAGTCACCCCTTTAAGAGGTTTTGTTCTAGAAGGGGTCATTAGATCAGATCATCAGATCATTAGAATCATTAGATCAGAAGTTAATCAGGCTGGCCTACTCTTTATTTTGCACTTCGCTCATTAAACAATATGTCACTAACGAGAAACGTTTGGTTTTTATTGAGCACACTGTATATGGTGACGCATATTTCAGCTCTAAATTTAATGAGATGATATTTAATTATGATTTATTGTTATTTTATTTCGAAACAAGGCTATTTTTTTTAAGTTATAACATCTAAAATAAGTATCCAGCAAGCCTCTTTGAAAAAGAATGATAAAAAAATAAACGATAGAATAGATATAAAAATATTTTTCTATTGAATATAAAAAAATAAAAATAATGAACGGGATTAAAAATTTAATTCGTATACAAAATTTAATAATGTAAATTCACAAACGTAATAAACAAAAAAAAATGGATGGAGAATAAATTATAGGTTTGCAAAAGTTGAGAAATTTCGAAACGGACATGAAATTTAAAAATACTGAAATTTTAAACAAAAGAATAAAACAAATAAAGACGCTTTAAATATCTAATTTTTTTAATTCAATTGCTCATCATTCTAAATATACTGCTGCAGTTGGTTTGGTTTAGTTTATTTCAATCTTAAAATCTACTCGAAACTAAAATGAACGCCAGATAATACTCGTTTAGGAAATCAGTCAAATAAAAGGGGCAATTAAAAATGCATTTAACTTTAAAATACGGACGCAGCTCAATCCTTTTGTTAAATTTATACGCTGATTTAATTAGACTTGCATTTTACTAAATTCCTCAAAGCTAAACTGTGCCAGTTAACCTCTGTGGCGAGCATAACGAGCTAATGCTCACACCGCAAATTACGTAATTGTTAGGTTCAAGTTGGATGATTTCATGGAGGATTAAAAGGTCTCTTGTTTCTAATTTGAATCCGTTTTGTTCTATATCAGTTAAATTTGACACATATGGTTAAATCCTTCATTAATTATTTAAATAAAAATCACATAAATACTGTATTCATGTTTTACGCAATATACAGATACTTTTTTTTAATAGTAAGCATTAAATAAATAATATCAAGTAACGGAATCGAAAATGTATATATACATGATCAAAGGCTTCATTGACTTCAAAAATATGGCGATGGTACTAATGTGTATGATACTGATATAAGGGTGATTGCTACCACAGTATTTATAAGGGCAATACCAGAGTGCCACATATAATTAAGTATTACTGGCGTTAATTAAAATTTGGTGTTGTTTTACGACCTTCCAAATAAGAATGGAAAATTAATCGTTTTCTGAAAATTATCATGCAAATATTAGTGTCTTTACTAATTATTATCGAGAATTGCAGTCAACTAATTTTGAAAATAGGTACGAATTTAAATGAAATGGTTTTGTTTTAAAATGCTAAATTAATGGAGAAAAGTTACTTTTTTGTGTACATAAACCATATATATATTTTCTTTTGTATGCTTTCTTGCAATATTTCTATTATCTATAAAATTTAAGTACTTACCCATTGATCTAAAAAATAATTTCTCTTTCCCTCGCGATTTTCATTTTCGTAACTCGTGCCAAAAAATGTCGATCAAACCCGATGCCAAAAGTAAAAAATACAGCAAATAAATTAAAAAAGAAAGAATTACATTAGATGGTGCCGGATATTAATCTTAACTAGTGGGCTGCGTCCCCTGTTCGCTAAAGCTCGCCAAATTGCTACGCAATCTTATATGGTTTGATTCGCAAAGCAAGCTCGCTTCGCTCGCTACTAACTTAGGTACATTGCAAATGCACAAAATTCTAAGAATTCAAAACAATCATTCAAATCCATATAACAACTTTTTTTTAAAAAAAATTTTAGTAAATACTAAGTCATTAAAATAAATTTGGATTCAAATAAATAACACGTAATTCGTTTAACCTATTAGAAATGTGCTATAGTATAAAATCTTAAGACAAAATTTATAAAACTGATATCTCTTTAAAAAGGTTAAGATTTTGGCGTGAAAAAAGCGCTTTCTACAAAGTACTAAAATAGAGATCTATCGACAATGACTACTCACTTCTGCCTAGCTTAATAGTATGAGACTGCCGCAGCTGATAAGGTGAATTTCGGAAGAGATCACATTTGGTGAGAATGCACTCTCTGGTTATTTCATTTTCTGTTTTTAAAAGCGCTATAAGTTGAGCCACCTTAGCTATATTTGGCATGTGACATTTTTAGCGGCAATCATTGGTCTATTTTCTAGCGTTGCCATTCGGGGAGTTGTAATGAGGCTTTTTTTTATCGCCGTGTAAGAGAAATATATANTTCGGAAGAGATCACATTTGGTGAGAATGCACTCTCTGGTTATTTCATTTTCTGTTTTTAAAAGCGCTATAAGTTGAGCCACCTTAGCTAGATTTGGCATGTGACATTTTTAGCGGCAATCATTGGTCTATTTTCTAGCGTTGCCATTCGGGGAGTTGTAATGAGGATTTTTTTTGTCGCCTTATGTGAGAAATATATATATAGATATTTATATCGAAATTTTGAAAAATACGAAAACTGAAGAGAGATTAATACCATATCCAGTGCGAATTGCTATGTGACATAAGGTTATAGTTATATATTGTCAACGAGTAAAAGTACTATTCATTTATTGCTTTTTATCTTTTGTAAATTCCTAAATTTAATTTCTCAAATGATCAGTTGAATGTTTTAAAATCCAAGTATCATTTCATTTCATTACGTTTGACATATTAATAAAATAAGCTTGCTAAAATTATGATAACTACGTATTTTATTAAAAAAAAAATTCGACTTCGAAGGAAAAAAAAAACAATGATGAATAGGAAGCAATCATGAGTGGAGCGAACATGGGTAATGCCTCCTAGTATCGTAACAAAAACTTCCAAAAAATCAAAAAAGAACTTCCAAATGTATTTATGCTCATAAAGTTTAAGCATAAAGCAATGGTTTTCAACAAATATTTTTTTTCATACATTTGTTTTAAGGTAGCTTTGCACTAAAAATGAATTTCTTAATTTAATATTGTTTTTCATCCTATCTCAACTAGTTCCTCCAATGATTTGGATTCCTCATCAACTAATATTCTCGTCTTTTGGTGAGACAGTTTCTCTGGATTGTTACACAGAGGCATTCCCTATGTCCATCAATTACTGGACGAAGGCGGACAGCTGCAACATCCTGCATCCCAACGACAAGTACGCTGTCAGCATCTCAGACAATATCTACCAAGTGAGCATGAAACTGGTGGTTTCCAACATTGGCAAGGATGACTTTGGCGTTTATAAATGCATCGCCAAAAATTCACTTGGATCAACTGAAGGACTTATTCGATTGTACGGTAAGTTCTCTTCTTTTTATTTTCGTCAGTATGAAGATTAAGATCCTGAATTTATCACTATGGCGTGAATGTTTTGCACTTTATTTTGTACTCTTTAACTTACAAAAAGTTATGATGATACTTAACACACATAAAATTTAACAAATTGTCTGTGAGGACGTTAAAGATTGTCTTTAGACCGAATTTATCAGTACATTTATTTAAATTTTAACCATTGATTTTCTGTTAATATTCGATAAACTATGTTAATGCATGTTTTCAACAAATGCATGGTTATATAGAGTTGAAATTTCAGAAAATTGTTTTATGATATATGACGTCATATTTTCATGGTACCATTAATATAAATGGAACCATTTATTAATACCAAAAAAAAATGAATAAATGGTTATACATTTACTAACTATTCATACATACTATTTATTTATAAATTTTATTCTTACTTATATTTTTAGATATTGCATATTTGCAGAAATGAAAAGATTTTTTACGAATTATACTGTATATTTTTAATGAGATAATCATAAAATGCTATATTTTGTTTAAACTATATCCACGTTATGAAGGAAAAAAGATAATTTTTCAAATTCCACCATATTTTTTGGTATACTAAATATGAATAACTTATTTCTTCTATAAATTATATTCATTTTGGAAACCAAAACTATATTCTTCGGTATTCTGAATATTACTCTCCAAACTCTAATTTAAAGTGTATGGCTGTTCGAAACAAAAATACTATTTTCTAAATTTCACTAGATTTTTAAAATATTTCCTTAAAAAAATTAATTTTCTACAATATTCTATATAAATTTATAGATGGCTTAATATCTTGATTTAATCTAACAATTTCTTGGTGTAAAAGATATGTTTCAATAGGTCTTCGAATCTCAGCTACCAGTTATCTCACTTTCCACTACACTGTAAAAAATCAAAGTTCAAATTTCGGTATAAAGTACCAGCCTAATCCATATGCTGGTACTTAAATGGGTGCATCGTCCGTATGAATCATTTCACCGTAAAATCCATTTAAACCATAAAATATTATGCCGCAGATTTTGCAGTAATATTTAACTTAATTAACTTAATTAAATAAATCTTAACAGCATATACGTGATTTTGTGGTAATTTTAACTGCAGATTTTTTGTTTCGTAACATGATAAGATAAAAATGAATTTTATGGTAAAAAGTATCGGCAACCTGAGTACCTTTAGTTTTTACCGTAAATTGATCCGGATTTTTTACAGTGTATATGCTGTTTCAATTTTGAATACATGGGATTTTCAAATTCAACTATTATTTGCTTCGGAGCCATTTTGACACATTTAGAGAAACCTCTTTTTACAGCGTGAAACTACAGTGTAGAACTATTACATTGCAGAACTACATTTACAGTGTAGAACTATATTTACAATGTAGAACTATATTTACACCATAATTATTATTATAAACCGCAAAAAGTTCTATTCTAAATTATATTCATGTTAGAAAACAAAGAAATTTTTTTCCGAATTACACCATATTCTTTTCCCTAACTATAAAAGAAATCCAATGAGGCGTAGAACTTTCGATAATTGCGGAATTTGATGATGACGAATCGATCTTCAACTCATTCCAAGTATGGTATTTTTTTTTCGTTCGAAAATATACCTTTTCTTTATGTTTTCTCCCACAGCTCAAACTTTTTTAACTCATTTGTGTCCACTCCAATGCATCGACTTTCTCTAACTCGATATATTGTCTTATCGCTTTTTTCATTAACCCGCAGAGGCCAAGCCGCCAATTTCCAAGCAGAACAACAAAAAAGAAACCGAAAAGGAAGAGGAAGAAAACCAAGAGAATAGTAAGTTAGATAATTTTCTTCAATTTTGTCACCATTTCTTTTAATTTTATTCCGCCTAAGTGAATTTCTTTTTATCGCTTCAACATATAGCGTCTTAATTAACTTCCGAACTAAAACAGTGAAAAAAACATAAAAGTTGCCTTTTAATATTAGATTCATTTTTTACATTGCGAATGTGTATTTTTTCAACAGTTTCGAAAGTTTTTTTCGTTCTAGTTTCCAACAATGAAATGAAGTTTCGTCGTAATGGATAAATTTAGTTATAGTTTTCTTCTTTTTTTATATATTAAAATGTAAGAAAGTGAAAATTATTTTATTTTAATTTTAAAATGCAAATTAAATAGCAGATGGTATTTTTTTACAAATATTTTCACCATTTCTAAATCATATCTTCTAATTTCCGCAGCGAATAGAGAGTTAAATAAATCTTAACAAAATCTCGTTAACTTTAGAGTGTCGCAAAAACAATCTTTCAACTGGAAAATAACTGAAATAATAATTTTATAAGTTTATTCAAAATTCAATTGTTAATTCAATTGTTAATCAAATATTTAGTTTTTTTTTTAAATCTGAACAACCTCATCTCAAATTATTTTTTCAAAGTTTTAACAAACGTAATTTATGTAATATCTGATAGTAGCTGTAGAAAATAAAAACTTAACGATCAGTGTTAAATTGCCTTCCTTTGAGATTGTGAAGGCACATTTTTCCAACTGTCTCAAAAACATTCTTCTTTGTTATTAATCACAGACAAAAGATTAAAGTATGGTACATTAGAATGAAATATGTTTGTATTAAAATGCAATTATTATTTTTTTCAAAAGGCGTGAAAACCTAATTGACATTAAAGAGCAAAATTTTAAAAAAGTTTCATGCTGCAAATTACAAATAACATAAAGGAAAAGATCACCAATTGCTTTAGTAGAAAAGCAGTATTATTTCGATCTAAACGTTGACAGCTCAGAGCAGGCTAAATAGTTTAAAATCACTGCTTTTGTAAATTTTTTTAAGTCTTTCTGTGAAAATTTTTTAATAATTTTTTATTTATTTACTTTTATTAAACCCGAAATCATCGCCTCCTGCTTGTTCTATTTATTCATCACTTTTAAAAACAATTACTCATCTCCACTCAGAGAATGCTACACACTCAATCATCGTCTTTTTTCCTCTATATTTATTATAAAAACAAAAACAAAATGTTTACAAAATGTAATGGAACTAATATAATTTTTTGTATAAACCCTTAATTAATATAAAATAATCGTAACTAAAATAAGTGGATATCCGTATTTGAAAAATAATCAAACGTGCTAGAAAGAAAAACTAAACTTGGGAAATAATCAAACGTACTACAAGAAAAATTAAACTTGGGAAATAATCTAACGTGGTAGAAAAAAATTAAACTTGGGAAATAATCAAACGTACTAGAAAAAAATTAAAATATGGGAAATAATCAAACGTACTAGAAAAAAATTAAACTTGGGAAATAATCAAACGTACTAGAAAAAAAATTAACTTGGGAATTCAGATTGTGTGACTCAATGAGAAGAAATACCTGGGAGGTCATTTTAACAAAAAATTGAGCATTAAAAACTACCATTCAGTTTAGTTTACCTTATCAATTAAAAATTACCAAAAAAACGTACCGTAATCTGGTAGTTTAGAAATTACTTTTTCTCAGTACATAAAGAAAGATCATAATAATTTCCTGCATTCATTACAGTATAACAAAATCTTACTCACCTTATTTAAATAAATATATTTTTTTATTATAAAAAATATAATTTCCAAAAAATGTATATATTTTTTTAGCTGACATCTTACATTATTTATAAGGTCCTAATTAATTTACATCGCATCTTAGTTGATTTGCTAACTGACAAACATCAAACGAATTGAAGGTTAGCTCTTACTTCTATGTCTTTTTTAAGCTACAAATGAGCATTTTTTATGAATATCAAAATTTACTTTTTGTCACTTTTACTTCTAAAAATATTAAACATGGCACAAGAAATTTTTTTTATAAATATTACTAAATCANTTCCAAAAAATGTATATATATCTTTTAGCTGACATCTTACATTATTTATAAGGTCCTAATTAATTTACATCGCATCTTAGTTGACTTGCTAACTGACAAACATCAAACGAATTGAAGGTTAGCTCTTACTTCTATGTCTTTTTTAAGCTACAAATGAGCATTTTTTATGAATATCAAAATTTACTTTTTGTCACTTTTACTTCTAAAAATATTAAACATGGCACAAGAAATTTTTTTTATAAATATTACTAAATCACAAGCGAAGACAATTTTTAATAAAAAAACTTTTCGTTAAATAAAATTGTAGAAAAATGTTGCCATCAAAGAAATGCACAGTAATTGCATGAAACTTCTAGTTCGCTTAATAAATTATAAATATAAAATGGAGCTGAAAGGTTCAGTTTTTATTTCTTTGGTTAGCAAAACTATATATTTAATATTCGCAGAAAATAGTGCAAACAGAAACGACTTATCAAATATTAGTATTCAAATCTCAACGGAGGCAAATTAGCGTCATTTCAAAAACAGTCGGTGAAATTAAAACTTGTGAATGTTTATGCTTAATAAATTTGAATTAAAAATGAATAGTTTATAGAGAATTAAACTTTTTCCATTGAGTGGACAAATCTAGAATTTTATTCTCTGAAAAGTCTGTTTACCGCTGAGAATGCCACCTAAATATGTATCGACCAAACAAATTAAATCTACGAAGTCTTCTGGGAATGATTTATTAAATGCTGAAATTTATGGCCTTGGAAGAAAGTTTAAGCATTTGCAACCTCCCGGCGGATCAGAAACTGGTGTTTCCGATGCGTTCAGATGCCCAATGGAATCCAATAAGTCGCCAAGTAATGATTTTTTGAATAATAAAATTTATGGTCTTGGAAGGAAATTGAAACACTTACAACCTCCTGGTGGATCAGAAACTGGCGTATTTGATGCTTTCAGGCACCCTATAGAAGCAATTTCTACCGCCAAAAAAGTAAAGGGCTACTTGAAGTCACAAATCTTTGAATCGTCTCCATTATCGAACGATAACATTGCAGCCAATTCACCATCCGGAAGAAATTGGCCCGATAAATATAAATCAACCGTTTTTGAGCCTGATGAACCTCTAAAACCACTAAAAATTAAAATTGCTAATAATAATCCAATAATTGGGAAGGATGATACTAAAATAAAAAATAGAAAGTACGAGATTCGTAACCCTATTACTTCTGAAGGCATTGAGGATAGTTTCAAACCATTGTGTTATAAGCAGCCTCCTGGCGGAAAGTCAGGCCTTGTCTTAGAATATAATGAAAAGCCTCAGCCGTTTTAAAAAACTAATGTCATTTTATATAGTTGTGTGACTGTGAATGTTAAGAAGAATACTCTTTTAAAAAAATGCTGATACTTTAATTTAATTTAAAATTGTTTGTTATGTAATTGGAATTTAGCATAATGAAAAATTAATTTTAAGAAATATGAAATTGTTTAAATCTTTAATTTGAAAATAAATTTTTATTTCACTTTCTGTCAAGTTTACTATGAATTTTAATTACGTCTTTACGCTTTGTATGTATACGTAAAAAAATTTTGGACAGACCTGCGACTTATTAAATGTATTTATTGGAAAAACCATCCTTACTTGTTTAAAGTTTGTAGAAAGTAGTTTTAATTAAAATGGATTTGTCCTTCACTATGCAGTATTACTACGATCATAAATAGCCAAGTTACAGCAAAATATAGAAAAGATTTTTTTCGGTTTAATTGACACCCATGATTTGTTTTTGGTATTTTTAGATCAGTTGATCACAGGAGAAAAATCGCCAAAAAATGCACACCACTGCCATTATTGCTTAATATTACCTCCAATTCATTATTTTTTATTTTTAAATGCATAAAAATTAAATAAAATAAAATAAAATAGAATGAAAAATTTAAAAAATAAATAGTTGATTTTCTTCGCGGTTTATAGAAAATTACCTTCTTTTTACCAGCAGCTTTATTAATTCACTATACGCAATATCTAAAAACTCTCCTGTACGCTTTACACTTTTTTGGAAGGGAATGGAGGATTTGGGATAGTAATTGTAATAATTTTTGCTGTTAAGTGAAGGATCGAATGAGATCAATCATGAGACAATCAAACCAATAATTAAGAAGTTATATGGGTTGTACATTCAAAAATTTATAACTTATTATATACAATTCTTTCATTCCACTTTCATATAAGTTCAGAAACTATAGATTTTAACCAGACACCTAAAATACTACTTGTTCTATTGACTCCTAACTAATCTATACAATTTAGCGTAAAAAGTAAGAAGGTAACAATACTTGATTTGGCTTGATAGCTAATGTGATGCATAAATATGGGTGCAAATACAAAATTGTACATTGTGGTACGAAAAACATTATAATTTCTAAACTATTGGCCCGATCGTCTCGGAATTTGGCTCATTCGATTAAGCGCAAGAAGTAGAAAGGAAATAATGCTTTACTTGAAGGTATAAAGGATATTCAATACCTGCCCCAACATCATCACCGTTTCACCCCACAAAAAAAAGTAAAAAAGAAAAGTGAAGAGTATAGAGAAAAGTATATGAGTTTCAGTCTTCATTTATTATGACATAAAAATAAATTTCTGTGAAAACTAATATTGGGTTTTATTTTTTCCAAGAATATGTCTACAAGGTACATTTATTAGTAAGTACAAAGCTGTATGTTGTATATTTATAGAAACTTTTATAACTTTTTATATTTGGTCCGATCATCTTGGGGCTAATTTTATTCAAATAAGCGCGCATTTACATCAGAAAATATTCCTTAAATGTTCAGATAACTCCAAGAACAGTTTTAAAACCGTACTTAAGACACGTCAAAAATCATACATTTTACGCATAAAAAGCTAATTAACTTCAGAATTGTTCATTTTATTCAGCCAGGAATAGTGTCCTTCAATTTAACATAAAAT